AGCTGGTCACGTTGGGTTTTTCAAATGCTTCTCATTTAACAAGTCTTCGTATTTGCTTTTGTTTTATCTTTTTGTGATAAGATGAAAAAGATTTCTTTTTCTTTTACTCCTCTAGAGCATCTAGTCAGTTTGTTCATCTTATTAAATATACAAATACAGTACTCCTGATGTGTGGAATGGTTAGGGAGAAAGGGAAAAAAATGACATTGTTTAACATTGACTTGCTATGTGGGAAATTAAAACACTGATTTTTTTTTTCTATTTGAGTTATTATAGCATTCTGGAGGTGCACATTATCTTTATGCATTTTATTGTACTGTATATGTTCATATTTATTGAAAAATACTGATTTTTGAAAGGAGTTGGACAGAGGTTGTTTTTAGAATTAAGCCCAGGAACACACATACACACAAACCCCAAACATCTAGCTGTCTTCTCCTCAGGTAAAACTGAGATATTTGAAATTTCTTTTCTTTTGAAGAGTAGTACATTGTGGTGTTTCATCTAAAGTAATCTACTTCTGATTATTAAGAATCATTGAATCCTGTTTCTTTTTACAACAACTGTATACCACAACTTGTTTTGCAAATGTGAAATATAAATTTATATGAATTTATCCTGTGTCAAAATACAGTGACAGTGGATTGAGAAAGTTTGGTTTATCCGAGGCTAATCCTTTATGTATTTGTGTGTATTTTTGAAATGATGAATTGAATAATCAGATAATTCAGGTATATAGCTTTAACACTGAAACACTGAAAACATGAAAATAAATATTGGCATTTCTTTGTTAGTCTGTAAACCTTGTTCTTTGTGTGAGTTTACATCACTTAACTTTTAGATTCTTGTTTAAAATATTTTGAATTGAAAAGTATTAATTTAAGTAGTAATTTTTTGATAAGAGATACTGAATTCGAAAGAATTTTCAAACTTTAAGGGGGCAAATGAGGAAGAGGAAGAATTTTAAGGACGTATATTTTGAAAGTGACTATAATGTCAAGTTACAGATGAAATCAGATTTGGTGGGTGAGCCAGGTCATGTTTAAATCAGGTATTTTTCTTTCATAATATGGTAGTTGGTGAGCTTATTAGGGTGATGAGCTCTTGTATGATAGTTTTGGGGATTGGAGAAAGGACACATAAGCATATTTTCTGATTCTTACTTTGGATTTCATATATAAAGGTAAAAGAATGAATTAATCACTTATAAGTAATGCTATTTGAGAACCATGAGTTGTGTAATCTTTATTTTTCTGACCTTAATTTATGCTAATAAATGTGGAAAAGAAGAATATTACATTCTGTATCATTCTGAGTTCTGTATCTTGGCATGAACCATCTTTTAGTATGTAAAGTTAGAGACCTATCCTTCATCTCTTAAACTTATAATGAGCGTATGTGACTTAATCTAGATGATAGGATGATAGGATTGCTAAGAGATGAGTGAGAAAGTGATTTGTATATAGCAAGATAGTAAGCATGTTCTTCACTTCACTTCACTTCACTTCACTTCACTTCAAACTCAGTTTAATTACTCACTGGTACTATGAAAAATTTTATGTATTTCCTTATTATATACATTATATACATTATAACCTCAGAATTGGGAGATTTCAAAGGCTGATGCTTTAGGAAGGAAAGGAGGTTAAAGTATTTCTGTAACAACATCCTTTTAAAGAAAAGATTTGTAAGGTGATTTAAATGAAGAAAAGATGATCTTACAATGAAAATAAATAAATAAATTTAGAAATAAAACAGCACAACATAAAATAAAAAATTTGAAGGAAAATAGGGGTTCAGAGTCTTTAAGGCATTAGCCTTCTGTGACTCCATTTGCCTGGCACAGCAGTAAAGCTGTTCTTTTCTAATTCTACCCCCCCAAAAAAAACCTCGATGGAAAGTAAATTAGACAAAAACAAGAAAAACTTACACAAAGAGCGGTAAATTTGGTAACTTCTGAGTACTTTCCACATGAATCTGGTAATGGGAAGTCAGGGACTAGTTGAAAAGCAAATGCTGTATAGAAAACATCAGATTTTGAATCAGAACTAAAACTTTCCCAGCTTGGTGTGAACAAATGGGAGAACTCTAGGTTGTTATGCTCAAAGGATACATTTCTTTTAAATGACAGTACTGAATCAGAAGTATTGTTCCTTTCAAAAGGGGAAAATTGTAAATTAGTCTTTTCATGGACATCTATAAGTTTGAGGCTCTATGAATAGAATTACAGTCTGATCTGTCAGTATTATGAAGGTAATAGAGTTCAGATGTTTTAGCACCTGCATTTTTAACCTGTTTAAGAAGCCCATGGGAATCGTGGTAGTATAAACCTTGGGAAAATACTTACTCAGGAGTCTGCAGATGATATAAGAATGGACAACTATAATTTACTAATAATTTTAAGATGTTGAACCTTTTTTGCTATCCATTATGTTTTAAGTTAACTTCTCTCTGGTAAAACTTAAAGGAGGCTTGTGCCTTCTCAGGGAAATCTGAATTGAATGAGGTAAAAGAAGCATTAACATTTTTCTCTTGTAAATGCAGAAATATTATATTTATTTGAATATTTAGATTTTCAAAAATTGGGGAAAGCATACAGGGGCCTACAGTTTTGGTATATCTTAAGTATGTAAGTTTTTATCCAGAAATTATTATTATAGATTCTGATACCTGACTTCAACAAAGCCCCATATTTTTAGCCTACAGATTTTCTAATAAACACATAATTTGTATGTAGATAGTCTTCAAGACTAGAGCCACAATGCTAAGTACTACCTTATGTGGAAGAAGTATAATTACAAAGTCAATGATAATAAAAAGGTCCATTTCAGGAAGTTACCCACAGCTTAAACATTAAGTAGTAAGTTTAAATTATGAGCACTTGTATATTATCAATAAACATCTGTGGAATTTTTCTATAGTACAACTTTTGTGAAATGCAGCAGTTAACAAGTATTACAGTTGCTGATTTTTATAAGTAATTTGTTTTTAATCTGTACATTTGGGGGAATGAAAGATATCCTGACCTAAAAAGCTTTTTGGCATTGTGTGTGAGTTACAATAGATATAAAATCATAATAAAATTTATAAATTTTTATAATTAATATAAATAAAAATAAATTAAAAATTTATAAAATATAAAAATAAAAATTGTAGAATAGATAAACAAGATTACACTGTATAGCACAGGGAAATATACACAAAATGTTATGATAAATCACAGAGAAAAAAATAAAAAAAAATAAAATTTCCATGTGGGGAAAAATGGTTTAATTTATATATAGATATTCCAGCACAGAAAGCTGCTGCATACCTTTAAGGGATAAGTGGTAATATTTTTTAGAGTAGAAACTTACCAAGTTTTAACAAATTTGAAGGCAGTTACTGTTTTCTTCCCTTTTGAATTCTTCCTGCTAATTATCTTGCTTTGCTGCAAGGATTCCTAAATATTGTTGCCTCTTTTTAAAAAAATTTTTAAATTTGTTTAGGGGGGAGTTAATTAGGTTTATTTATTTATTTATTTATCTTTTTAATAAGGTACTGGGGATTGAACTCAGGACCTCATGCATGCTAATCAAGCTCTCTACCACCCTCCCCACAAAACTTACCAAGTTTTAAAATCACATTGCTCTTTCTTTTTAAGCAATGAGTTGTCTGCTCCCTCCACTCCAGTACATCACTCACACATCTTAATATTCCATAAATGTTTGTTGAATAGTGAATGTTTAGTGGACTTCTCAGTGTTCTAAAACTAAGAGAGGGAGGGAGAGAGAGAGAGAAAGATACTAATTTTTATAATGTGTGTAGTGTTAGAAGATACGGGAAAATCTCCAAACTTGTGCATTTAATAAGCTGATAGCAGTAAGTTGTATGAGTGTTACACGTGTTTATCTTTTATGTTGACTATTTTGTGTGAAGAATGTTGATATATCAATTTCTTCAAATCAGAGCTAGATGAATTCTTATTGAAGGTGATTTTCTCAAGGGTAGAGCTTTAGATTTTAAAGTTAATAAACCAAAGATAGTAGATTTTTAGAGGCTATCTTTATTTAGGAATTAAAAAATGTATTATTGAAATGTGAGTAGAAAATCTAAATTTTGAAGAGAAAGGGCTGGAAATTTACTTATGCCTATATGAAACAGTTTTACTGTTCTTATTTCAACAATGACTATTAAAAATCAAGACATTAACCATCAATATCTTATGGTTGATGGTCATGTTAATATATATATACACATGTGTTAAAATATATAAAACTATATATTTGACCCAAAAAAGTCAAATTTACTGTATTATTTTAGAAAATAATTTTTAAAAATCAAGACATGAATATGTCAGTAAATTAATGTACAAGAGAGACTGAAAATTCTGTGTTAGTTTCCCATGGCTGCTGTAACAAACTGCTGGAAACTGGGTGGCTTACAACAACAGGAATTTACTGTCCTGAAGTTCTGGAGGGTAGAAGTCTGAAATCAAGGTATCAACAGGGCTATGCTCCCTCTGAAACCTATAGGGGAATCCTTTCTTGCCTCTTCCTAGCTTTTGGTGACTTGCCAGGAGTCTTTGGCATTCCTTGGCATACAACTGCATAACTCCAATCTCTGCCTTCATTGTCACATGGCATGCTTCCTATGTGTCCCTGTCTACACATGACCATTTTATAAGGACAGCAGTCATATTGGATTAGGAGCCCACCCTGCTCCAGTATGACCTCATTTTAACTAATTACACGTGCAACAACCCTACTTCCAAATGTTCCGAAGTACTGGAGCAGTTAGGACTTCATAACAATCTTGGAAGGGCACAGTTCAACTCATAACAGCTTCTCATACTTGTTACTTGTATAACAGAGTTTCATGTGAATTTTAAACTTTTACACATTTGATATGGCTTAAATTAGAAATTACCACATTCTCTTTATTAGGTAAGCATGATTTCAATTTAATTGATTCAATTTGCATGATTATTTAATGTTTTTTAATACATGTGTAACTTTTTTTTTTTACAAATAAGTGGTCATTTAAAGGTTAAACCTGTCATTGTTCTTTATAAAAATGATGACTGTACAGTATAGCACCCAGGATATACATGCATGGATGAACAGATTACTCTGGGTCTTTTATTTATGCATTTGTAGCTCATCTATAGAAATAGGTAACCCTGTTGTCCAGAGCCTCTTCAGCATCTCCTTCAGTCAGATCAGTAGTGGCTTGAGAGTTCTGCCAGTTCTGCATAATCCACTATACAGGAAGGTATGAGGCTTCATTGACAGCTTAAGGGCACAGAGATCGCAGTGCATGAGGTTTATCATGGAGAAACAGAGGACAGGCTGGAGATGCTGTTCAAGTACATCCTGGTGGAAGACAAGAGCCTGAGCAGGGGGCATCCTGAATGGACTTTCTCTGTCATATGCACAAGGAAGTTTGGCAGCTACTGAGCTAGAGCAAGTGAGTAAACAGCATAGGGTTCCAGGCCAGCTTCCAGAAAGTACCCCAGGAGAGCAGAGAAATTAGGACAGTTGCATATCTTATAAGTCATGTAAGCTGACCTCAATCTCTTTGCTGGGAGGTGAAGTTATAAGGAAATACTTACTTTCTGAGCTCAAGTATCCTCCTGCTCTGTCATATCCTGCTAATGGAAGGTGCCTGTATCCCCTCACTTTATCCTCCTTTTTTTTTGCAAATCCTGTGGTAATGAATGTAGTTTCTCAGTTCACTTTATATAATTTGGAATTTGGAGGCACCCAGATCCTGTTAATATTATGTATCCCTTTGGACCAGCCTCCAAGAAAGTGGGGCAGGCAGGAAAGAGTGGGAATCCTAGGGTTACTACTTGGGGAGGGGCTGCTAATACAGCTCATTGTCAGCAACAACTTCTTATATTAGGAATGAAACATACATGTGCACAAGAGCTGGGATATAGACCATATAGGTGGTGGAGAGAAACATGGTCAGGCCTTCTTGGGCCTGGAAGTCAGCAGCCACATCAAAGTTATTGAGGACAGTTGATTAGCTTTCTCTCTCTGCTTCCACTGTTCTTTCTCTCTCCTACAATGATTGGTGATCACTCCATGGATAGAGCACATTGTCAGAGATGAATAAACCTGGGAACTGAGTTGCAAAATATTAAGACCTTGGAAAGATACCAGCCCCTTTCCAGTTGGAGAGGCCCCACCAGTTGACTGGTTCTGTACAGGGCCTGATCATCAACTTACAGTAGCTCACAAAGCCAGCTCACATCCCACTCTGAGTTCCTACTGAAAACACTGCTTCTCCAAGTTGGAGGGTATCGGGGAGAGAGGCAGAGGTGGCTGGAGCTGGTCCCTCCTGCTAGGACATCTCTTGGGCTTTGGTATTGACAGAGTGGGTGACAGTTCTTTCAGCTCGAACTGACTGAGACTGGACAAATGCTAGGTTTGATTGTGGCCAGGCTCGTCTGCTCCCAGCCTGGGATGCCCCTACTCTGGACCTCTCATTTCTCTTCATTGGTTTATTTTTCAGTGTATCTTTTTTCTTTTAATCATATGGTATTCTTCTTTCTCTTTCTGGCTTACTTCACTTAGAATGACAATCTCCAGGTCCATCCATGTTGCTGCAAATGGCATTATTTTACTCTTTTTTATGGCTGAGTTAATATTCCGTTGTATAAATAAACCACAGCTTCTTTATCCAGTCATCTCTCAATGGATTTTTAGGTTGTTTCCATGTCTTGGCTATTGTAAATAGTGGTGCTATGAACATTGGGTGCATGTATCTTTATGAATTAAGGTTCCCTTTGGGTATATGCCCAGGAGTGGGATTGCTGGATCATATGGTAAGCCTATTTTTAGTC